AAAGACGTTTTTCTTAAAATAAATATGACAGACTTACTGGACAAATATATTTTGATTGTGTCTGGCTTTGAATAAGTTAAAAATATGAATTTACAACCTGAATTGTGAGAGAAATACAATCTTTTTGTAACAATTGATAAATGTTCTTCTTAATAGGTTTCTGTCATTTTAATGGTAGATGTGTTTTAATACCTTCAATTGACTGTTAATCACAACATTTCACCAACCTGATAAATTACATGTAAACACTAGTTCTCGTCAAATTGCTATGAAATGTTATTAATATGGAACTCTGTAAACAATATGCTATTTACTAGTTGTTTAAATATCTAGTCAGAAATTAAACATGACAGAACATCCAAACAACTCCCATGTTGTTTATTTCTGTATAAATAGTGACAGATATTAATTGATCTGAAATGTAAACATTTAAATCTCTGTATATCCCAATCAACTCTCTAATTGCTGTGAATAAATTACATCCTACTTTTCCGATCTTCATTGAAAAGATTTAACTGTGATTACAAGCTTCTTTTTTACTAATAACTTTCAGTGTAAAGATGGGAGCACACAGGGAACAGCTCTGTCCTTTTCAAATGAATACATAAACAACATAAATCTAACTTCTTTACCCAGTAATAGAATTGGTATCTGTTAATTTAACTATCATGGTAATCTATTGTATTCTCTAACGATTAATTAGATGTTAAGTACTGAACAGTCATCTGCCTTGAAGTTTCTGCTAGCATTTTTATACATATCATATACTTTTATTTCTTTTAGAAGGACTAACAATGGACATCTTAGAAAATTATTACTGTGATTTATAAAGTGTATTCAAGAGTATCTGATACAGTCTTCTTACTTATAACAACATCAATTTGTGTTTCCTCTTGCTTCTCAAATAATACAGACACAAATTGGAGAATAATGTCATTTAATAAAAACTGCTTATTAAACAACTATAATTACAAGTAACAATTAAATTTAAAAACCCACTATCAACTTGTGATAGGGCATAACCACAAAATTTTACTATAAAATCACCACACACAATCAGTTTGTTTAAAACTCGTCCAAAAATAACAAAGATAGCTTGCCAGGCAAGGTAACATACACCCACTGGCAGCTGTCAAAAATGATTAAACAGTCTTTAGTGACTACAGGGTTGCACAATATAGCTAATAGAGTGAAACGTCAAGTCAGACACCATATTTCGGTGAAATATTATCCGATCATCGCGAAAATCGATAGGGATCATCTTCATAATGACATTGACATACAAAATAAAAATCAAAAGAATCTGTAAAGAATTGTAGCCTGTAGAGTGAGCACGAGTTGCACAATATAGCTAATAGAGTAAAACGTCAGGTCAGACACGATATTTCGGTGAAAAATTATCCGATCATCATGAAAATCGATAGATCATCATGAAAATCAATAGGGATCATCTTCATAACGACATAGACATACAAAATAAAAATCAAAAGAATCTGTAAAGAATTGTAGCCTGTAGAGTGAGCACGAGTTGCACAATATAGCTAATAGAGTAAAACGTCAAGTCAGACACGATATTTCGGTGAAAAATTATCCGATCATCACGAAAATCAATAGGGATCATCTTCATAATGACATTGACACACAAAAAAAAAATCAAAAGAATCCATAAAGAACTGTAGCCTGTAGAGTGAGCACGAGCCAAATGTGAACGGACCGACGGGGTGATTACAATATACGCCCATCTTATGTGTGGGCGTATAAAAACGAATGCAGACCTATATTTTGTGAATTTATATGTATGAAAATCAATAGTCTCTTGACATTAAAACTAAACCTAAAAGCATGCCACTGAGAATTGTTGACAAATAGAAAAAAGTGGCTAGAGTCTTGCATGAATATAAAACAATAGCTTATGATTCACTAATTATAGTAATGAAATTAGTAAATTGACTAGACCTAACACAAATACCCATTCAAATGATGTCTACCATTCATGAAACCTTTTTATTCAGATGTTCTGATAAATCAGCAGATTTTTATCTTTCTTTTTCTCTCTGGACTAGACAAGAGATATTTGTGTATTCTATGTAATTTATTTCCTATGTTTTTTGACAATGCGACATTATCCAATTAGGTTATTTGAAAACATACAGAACACAACTCATGGTTCATTTTCTGTTAAGACTCTAAGACATTTGAAATTTGACGTAGAATCACATTTTTAAAAGAGATGTAACAATTGGAAACATTACAAACCACTAACATAACATGGCTTTTCACAGATGATGGTAAATATTAAATTAAGTACCAGAAAAAAATTACCTTGCTGGTCAATTCCTTCAGATTATCAAATATTGTCTAAGTTAATAATGTTTATTCAGTAAATTAAATATTAGGTGATAATTCTATTTTATAATATCATTATCTATCAATAACCAATTCATTGATTATTAATACAATTCATACCACTGATATTTAACTTGTGACATATTTCTAAAACCAGGAAATTAAGCCTTAATGGCTGAAAAATGATTTAATCATTATTCAAAGTGATTTTACTTAATCCAAATTAATTTTAATTTTTGATTCAACAGGGATATAATGAAACAAGTATATCATATATTTTTGATTCTGTAAAGGGGTAGAGTCTTAACAGACTATAAACCGTAATATTACCTTTATATGTGCAATCACAATGCAATAATATGTCATTAACAGACAGTTGGACAAACTTAATGATGTCCAATAAGTTGCATTTACCAAGTTTTCAGTGGCAATTCTCTCATGTGTGTTTGTATACAGAACTTGCATGTTTAGTGAAGTCATGCACATGTGATGATTATGAACTTCCTGTGTTCAGAGCGAGCACTATATCAATATTTTAATGAATGAATGAATATAAGCATATATATATAGAATGTATATATATCAGAAGAAACAGTCAGTGGTATAGTATTAAAAACAACTTGGTAAAGCATATTCCGATCAAATATCTACAGGGGTATTAATGACAATGGGTTTATATACATTACTTTAAACAATGATTTATTCCCAAATGATAAATAAATGAAGGATTGTTATTGATGTTAAAGCATGTGTTGACCAGATATACTATAGTACTGTATTAAAACAATAGAGTGGTAATAATAGTAATTATTAGTAGTTCAATACTTCCAAGATGTTTACTGCTGTATTCTTCATCAGAATTAAAATGCTTGAAGGGAATATGGTAATTTGCAATAGTAGCAGTTTCAGTACCAAGATTTGGATCCCCTTTCATCAACTCCCTGAAGTAATACTGCATTGCATATTTGAATTATTTGTTAATCTTGTAAATTTCTCCTTAACAATTAAATTCTTATCAAATTGATTTATTCCTGTACTGAAATCCATTGTCTCTACTTGTGAACCAGGCCAGTGCTTATAACACATTATGCCAACGTGGTTCAGTTTATGCAAAAATTAATATCAGGGGATCAAGAACAGAGGAAATTTTAAACAAATCTCTATTTATTAGTCAGTGGTTCTTGCTTAAAAAATCCTTCTTGCATCTGAACAAATGAAGAGGCTACTCCCTTTGTGCAACTGACTATTATTCATATTCCTATAAAAACAATGTTATAACACTTTTGTTTCTATTGTATTGTATGTTCCTTCAGTTTTTTTCTTAGGTTGAGATAAATCTTCAAATAACAATTGAAACTGTTGAATAATGGTCTCAAAAGACATGGCAGAATATATTGCCAGATTTACATTAACATTTCTCAAAAAGAAAATGTTGATATATGAATTAGTAATAATATCATGATATTTAGTTAAATGTGATAGAGAAGGCCAATAGTAACATCAAATACATCAACCATTGCTGGCTTTAATCTCTGAAATGTCATTTTACCCATATTACTGTACAATGGAGTAATAAAAGTTAATTTCTGGCTTGATGATCAGTTACCAGTCTACAGTTTCACCTTCATCTTTCACCTCAATCCTTTTTACATAGTTTTTATTTATTAATTACCATATTATAAAGAGAAGAAGGTTGTCCTACAATGTGTAGAGGTCAAGATAAGTTCTCCAAGATGTAAGGCATGTTTCTATTGGATAATGTACTCCTGCAATTGGTGGATTCTTATTTCTTGCTATGATTTTGAACCTGATACAAGCATCCAATGAGTCACCAATACAAAGGAGGAGGCATTAAAGACACCACAGAGCTTGCCCCATAGGGGAACTATCAGAATTATTTAACTTTTTCAACTATTTGATGCAGTAAGAAATACACAAACAGTCAAATGATTTATCACCATAGATATTGAAGATGGTGCACAATTTTATAAAAAATCTAATGATTAAACCACCATTTAAAAGTCTTTAAGGAATATTCCTGAACTTATTCCTGAAAACTGCTGTAGATGTTTCTGATCTCAAAAACTGGTTACTGGTTAGATCCATAAATATGTCCAATAAAACAGTTGTCAACTACTGACTTTTATATCTGCTTTAGAAGCTTTGAACCTTTCGCTTATAGTTGGCCAGTTTGACTAGTTAAATACTTAAAGATACAAAATTGCTTCTTGTTACAGTAAAATTTCTACTACTACTACTATTAAAATCTTTTTTCAGGATCATAAATTGTTTTTCTTGTCCAAGTCAATGGATAAGTCTGACAGCTCTGATCAAATAAAAAACTTCTTTGAAAGTTTCCACATGCGGTTGACCTCATTGTTTTTGCTCTTGTTCCAGAAATTCTATCTTAAAACATATTTAAACCATCCCCACTGTCCATTTTGTATATATTTCATGTAAGATTTATGTACTTCATCAAAAGATAGGCAGACTATCAGTTTACTTTTCAACTAGAAATATCAGAAAAGATAAAAGACCAAAATATTGAAGTGATATGATCACCTACATTCTAACACAGTAATCTGTAATAAATACTCTAGTGGTTCTAGATTTTGTGGTTATTTTTGAGAAAAAGTTAGATAAACAAAGGACCATCAGACCATTACATCCCTTTCACTCTTACATGTATGACATGGTTTAATTATTTGATCTAGATAAAGTAATTTGTGTGTGAATAGTAATACCTCAAAACAATCTGCAGATAATAGAGGTGGATTTGAGGTGAGTGTGCAGGTAATAGAGGTGGATTTGAGGTGAGTGTGCAGGTAATAGAGGTGGATTTGAGATGAGTGTGCAGGTAATAGAGGTGGATTTGAGTTGAGAGTGTAATAGAGGTGGTTTTGAGTTGAATGTGTAAGGTAATAGAGGTGGATTTGAGGGGAGTGTGTAGGTAAGGGAGGTGGATTTGAAGGGAGTGTGTAGGTAATGGAGGTGGATTTGAGGTGAGAGTGTAAGGTAATGGAGGTGGATTTGAGGGGAGTGTGTAGGTAATGGAGGTGGATTTGAGGGGAGTGTGTAAGTAATGGAGGTGGATTTAAGGGGAGTGTGTAGGTAATGGAGGTGGATTTGAAGGGAGTGTGTAGGTAAGGGAGGTGGATTTGAAGGGAGTGTGTAGGGAGGGGAGTGTGTAGGTAAGGGAGGTGGATTTGAGGGGAGTGTGTAGGTAAGGGAGGTGGATTTGAGGGGAGTGTGTAGATAAGGGAGGTGGATTTGAGGGGAGTGTGTAGGTAAAGGAGGTGGATTTGAGGGGAGTGTGTAGGGAGGGGAGTGTGTAGGTAAGAGAGGTGGATTTGAGAGGAGTGTGCAGGTCTAGTTACTACGTGATAATGGTTACTAATGAAAACACTGTGAATTATCCTTTCATTTGTGGTTCACTTCAAATTAGTCTTTTTGTATCAAAAAAGAGTAGATTATGCTTCTCTGGGAAAATTTCCCTTGTTTGCACACTGAATGGCCGGCCTTGTCTGTCTTTATTAGTCTTCTTAGATGAGAACAATGTTTTTGAACATCAGAATTAAAAATCCAGCCTGTTTTTGACAATTTGTGTTGTCTGTTTTGATCTGCTTCTATCTATGGTCATTCTGTGTAAAAGAAAGTAAATAAGTTCAGTCTTTGATCAGTTAACTGTATATGGTTTGAAAGTATTATCTATAAACAGTGAAATAAGTAATATAAGTAAAACCAGAGATCTACTATCATGAGGAGAGTTAACATTGATCTATTGGTGTTGATTGATGGTAACTTATAGTAGAACAAGGTCATCTGGATTCTTTACCATATAACATCTACTGCATGATAATTCTTTTCATCTGTAACTGCTCCACTCCCTGTAACATGAAAGAAATACTGATTTCAGAATGTGAACTACAGGATTTTAATTGAAGTAGAACCTGTCTTTGGAGATCAGGTAAAATCCTGAATATGTTACCAACTACATGGATGATTCTACTAAAACGTTTTACGCATATGTATATAAATGTAGTCAGTGCTATTTTTATCAATCCTCGTTGTCTCTCCATATAGGACTTTTTTTTTTCTATATCCAATATTTGATGAGGAAAAGCTTTCACAGAGAACAAAAAAAAAATAATTATAGGTTTAAGCTAACCTCCAAACAATAGGAGCTGATATTCATCTCATACATATTTTATCTTCAAAACATTATAAAGTAATACATCATATATAAGTCAACTTCATATCTGAGTCTGACACATTATCACATCATCCAAAATATTTTGGCAATACTATCAAGATTAGAATGATTATGTCAGAACCTCCCTGGTTGGTATTTATACTACCTAGTTACTTAATCTAACCTTCTACCTATTTCACTATTCTCTCCTACAAAAACATACCAATTTGTATTGCATTAGAGTAGCAATTCTGGAAATTCTACTTGCTTTAAGAATGGTTATACATTCCTTCAATTTTATTCTCTTTTTGTCTAAATTTGTTCTTTTATATTGACAAGCTAGCTTTCATTTTTTTATAAAAATCTTTATTGGTGTTTCTAGAGGGTTTCACTTTTCAATGCATCTTGAGGCCTGTGTGCTTTGCCAGCATTGATCATCAAGATTAAATTAGCTACCTCCATAAGAGATAAACTGAAAGTAGGATGTAAATCTCCACATCAGTTTTTTTTAGAGTCCTCAATTGCTGTTAATTGAATGATTGCTTGGTAGATCTACAAGATGGGAAAACTTGAAAAAAATATTGCATGGAATACATACTAGAAACATTGAAAAGATAACTAGCTCTAAGAAGACAAAATGAACCAGTCAATTTCAGTATTTATCAAGTATGTTCAGAGTCAGAATATTTATTAAATACAAGTACACAAGACCACCAGAGTAAAGTAATAATATATGTTAATCCTATGGTTTACCTGTAATGAACTTGTAAATTGTTGTAGATTTGGTAAAGAAATCTCTTTTATAATTATCTACAGGTGTAAACTAACTTCTTACCTGTATTTGAACATCATTTTCCATCATTTGATCACATAATCTGTTTATTTTTTTCTTATTTCTACAAAAAATACAAAGTTTTTCTTCATGGTAAAAATTGTTTCTGTGTACTTTTCATTTATTTTCAAAAACTGATCACCTGTTAGCAGTAAAGAGGAAGGAAGTGATGAAACCGTGTATTTGTTTTATTATAAAAGATGTTCTATAATAATATTATTTTAATATATTTTATCCTTGTAGCGAAATGTTAGAACCTTTTATTCTTCATTTTTATACACCCTCACTCCATTTGCTCACATTTAGAATTTGCACATACTACAGATAATTCTGTTTTAGCTTCTTGTAAGATTGAAATGTACTTTGAAGCTTGATCTGAGGTGTTCCTCCATTGTTCAGGTGATGTGTCGAAGTAAAATAAAACTCTTGAAAACTCTATTTGATACAATATATATACATGGAAGTGTGTTTGATGACTATTGACCTTCAGCCAGAAAGGTCAGAAGTTGCACAATGGTTCAATGGAAACTATGTGGTGTGTTTGAATCATCTTCCTTTCCTTTATCCAACATTAAGTCATTTATCTTTTAAAGGAAATGGTAGTAACCATTTAACTGTGCTTTTTTGACATAAAGCAAAATTAATTCCATTGATATCTGTTTAACCAATCAAACTTTGGTATCTCTTGATGCAAAGTTTTTTTTATTTAGAGTTTCAGAGAATAAGCATGTGACCAACACAATGACATAAATAGTCAGGTGACTAGATTGAGTGTCAGATCAACTTGCTTTGTTAGCGTTACCAAGGGAACTAGAAGACCCTCTGTAATTTTAGTGCTTAAAACATACTCTTTCCAGAAACATCATCTTCCAATAAATAAGATTTCATAGTGAATGGGGAATCAGACGTCAAATTCTTCTATAAAGTGTCCTTGTTTCACTTCCAGTATTGAATCAAGTAATCAATGGCGCACTTCCAGAACTCTTTGAGACCAAACTCTGTTAAATTAGTCCATTATCTGGAACTATTCTAACTTGAACAAATAAAAGACAAGTAGTTATTCATTGGCAAAGAATATGGATAAGATAGTGTGTTGAAGTGGTTAGAAAACACAACTATTGATCAGGTTGTATCTTGACAAGAAGTGATTTAAACTGATATATCATTAAATAAACAATATTTTAAAGATTTATAGATTTCTTTAATATTTTACAAATAGATGCTTTGATATTTTGACTGTTTAATTCTGCTGTAAAATGTTTATTTAATCAAACTAATATTTTTCTTCTTTATCGATTTACTGCACACAAAGAAACATTGTTTTGAGTCAATCAAACAGTCAATGAAGAAAGATAAGTTAGAATTGAATGTGTGAGTGTCTGAATTATAATCATATTCTAGGGGCTATATCACCAATAATAAACTGGTTTTATCCATCAAAAATTTCGGCCAAAAACAGCCAACTGTATGTTGTAATATTTAGTAGTAATGGTAAAGAAATGCAAATATAAAGTGAGCACCACCTGCTTGAAGAGAAAAAAGACAAAGTTTGCATCATAATAAGAAATGGAATCCATTGATCTCTATAAGTATAAGTTTAACATTCAGTGTAGTTTATAGTAAGCATAGTCTGCCTTACTGTGGTATCCAGTAACAAAATAAAGGTTGTCTTTTCAACTAAAGCGTTTCTACCACAAAGAAATATACCCACAGTAATTAGTAAATGATTCCTGATTTCAATTAAAATATTTTCATCAGATAAAGAGGAATATGTTTTTTATGTCATAATTATGACTTCAATATGTTTTGTATCACTGAGTTTTAAGAAGTTTACAAGTTAAGAGTTAGTTTTTATTTTGACAGGAAAGTTATGAAAAATGAAACAGGTGGAGATAGAAATCTTTCTGTGAGGTTTTCTGACATTTTATCAATGTTTGATTATATATCATTTAATTTCTTATCTTTTAAACTTTATTTTTGTTCGTAAAACAACTTT